ATTGACGTACGGAAACCCCCTGAATGTTCCTTGTCTCCTACCCTCTTGCATACATGCAACAAGATGAAGGAGTTGCGCTAAACTAGTCCAAAAGTCTGTCGAGCTGTCACCTCAAGATTTGACTTCAAGGAATTATGGAACCAATGGCCACCAGTCAACGGAGCACCATGTTCGAATCAGATAATATCATGAATGCCACTTTGCAATTTTTTATATCTTTTGTAGCAAGTCAAATTCCGCTGCTTGGATCGGCAGTTATTCTAGGCCAGAAAGGCAACTCTATAAACGTAGCTTGGACCTGAAAGTGTTGATGATCTGAACTAAACATAGAGTAATGTAGCAAGCAGAGCAGATCATCCCTGAAGCGTCATGTGACCTTTGCCACGGGACCACATCCCTTGATGCTCATTTCACACCAGGTGTGCTATGTGATCTAAGTTGGGCCAGAAGCCAAATTATAGGAGATTGGAGCCACCACCTATCTAGAACCATTACAGTAATATAACAGTAACTTCAAAAACCTTAAAATATAAGGTACTTTTTCTTTTGGGTGGACATTATACTGAACTTTACTAAGCTAAAGGTACTGACAATTAATTAACAATTAATTGTATACTATATATATAGATTATACTATATTATAACCGAGACCTAGAATATATTACTATAATATTATATTATATTATATTATCATGCCCAAACTATGAAGGAATGATGATGTTTCTTTCATGCTCCAAAGTCCTCACAATGATGCAGCCAGACTGAAATGCCTCCACAGATAAGAAATGCTATATTCTTTGATAAAAGCATTTTTTCCAGATATGTAGAAACCATTTTTAAATAGTTTCCAGGGTCCACTTCCTTATCAGGTTATATTGAAAACTGTGCTAGGAAACTGCTTCAAACAACAAAAAAAGAGTTCTGATGCCAGGAATAAACTGGGCAAGCAAGGTGCTAACTATGGGGTGTTGGGTGATTTTGCACTAACACTTCATTCTCATTGTGGGGGCACTGATACATACTTCTTTTGTAACTATTTTACTTCATAATGGTGCCCCTAACTACAGTTCCCTGACCTAGAGACCAGTTCAGTTCCCTTCACTGGTTCCCACATCCAGATCCCCGATATGGATACCTGATCTTGGTTCCTGATCCTAGTTCTCTGATCTAGTTCCTGATCCTAGTTCTCTGATCCAGTTACCTGATCCTAGTTCCCTGGCCTGGTTCCCTGATCTAGGACCCAGTCCAACCCCTGTTTCAGGACACTGACCTCAGGACCTGATCCACTTCTCCTGATGACTACCCTGAAACAATTCCTTACTAATATATCCACAACTCTTGGTAATCTGCTTACCAATATCTACAACTTTAGTAAGCTACCAAGTTCCAGTCTTTCCAGTTGTCCCAAATGTCCCCGCTGTTCTAACCCTAACCCTAACCCTAATTCACTGGTGTGAACAGCACCAGGATTTCAAGCTTGATTTTCAACAGAGAGGTGTGAATCAGACCACGGGCTGTACATCAACAAGAAGATGGGTATCCACCTTATCCTGTATGTGGACGACCTTATTCTGGCCTCAAAGGATGACCAGGAGTTGTTAAAACTCAAAGAAGAACTCAAGAAGCAGTTCCAGATGGCTGATATGGGCCAGTTAGAGCATTTTCTCAGCATTCAAGTGGTCAGGGACAGAGTCAATAGGTCAATCTGGCTCTCACAACAGTGGTACCTCAGTCAAACATTGAAAAAGTTCAATATGAGCAACAGCAAACCAGTTGCCACACCACAAGAGAACAGCCAGAAGCTCACCAAGGCGATGTCACCACAAACTGAGGCAGAACAGCAAGAAATGAATGGGGTCCATTTCAGAAGTGCTGTTGGAAGTGTCACCTATGAAGTGCTGGGCACCAGACCAGACATAGCAGCAGCAGTGTTGAGATTCAGGCTTAAACCACGCTGTATGATCTATAAATCATGTGAGATCATGCTGAAATGTCATTAGACAGTTCACATCTGATCTGGCTAAGTTACAACGTGGGGAATTGGACTTAGAGTAATCAGAATGATCACAGACGCATGTGGGAATGATTTAAAGGGGTAAATCATCATGTAAGCACTCTTAGAAGGTCTGGAAGGTTTGTGATGATCCAGACCATCAGGTAATGTTTGCCAAGGCATGGCTGAAGCTGCTGAGCACTGCTGAGCATGGCTGAGCATGTAAACAAGTGGGCTGAAGCATGTAAACAGTAAACAAAGGTGGAGGGAGGCTGGAGAATGTACTGGGTTATATAAAGGGGGCTTTTGAACATCTCTGGATTAATACAAGCGTGTTATCCCACAAGTTACTGCACCCAGAAGTCTTACTAGCGGCCACAGGCATTACTAGGCCTTTCAGAAGTGATTTCTACACAGGAAATCAGTGTTCCAAGTGCTAAGTTCAATAGGTTATGAGCCCTGATAGCTATCACTGATATTTTTCCTGCTTCAAATCTCTTTTGTGATGGCCACACCATCTTCCTGATGGACCTATCCTCTTCCCAACCTGATATTTGGACCACCTACCACACCAGGATGATTTCACCTCTTCCCCAACAGCAAATCCACTCACCAAATCAGCTCAGACATGTCAAACACGGACTTGGACACCAAACTCACAATGGAAAAGTTCAACAGCATGAACTACCACCTCTGGAAGTTCAAAATGATGATGTTGCTGAAGGAAAAGGGGCTGTGGGGTGTGATTGAGGGTGATCAGAGCATGGAGGGAACCTCTGAGAAGGATTGGAGGAGAGAGGATGAGCGGGCAATGGCTGTAATTGCTCTGTCACTGAGTGATGCCCAAGTCATGCATGTACAGACCGCTGTAACTGCAAAAGAGGCCTGGTTAAAGCTCAGTGACATCCACCAAAGGAAAGGAATTGCCAGTAGGCTCTATCTAAGGAGGAAATTTCTCACTCTGAAGATGGAAGACGGCACTGGGGGCATGTTGGGACATATAAACACGGTCAGGACAATGGCTCAGCAGTTGGAGGCCATTGGGGCGCCAGTCAGTGAAGAAGACCAAGTCATCACCCTACTCTACAGCCTACCAGAGAGTTATGAACAGCTGGTGGTGTCTTTGGAGGCCAGGAGTGATTCTCTGACACTGGAATTCCTCACATCACGGCTTTTGCATGAAGAAACACGCAGGAAGGAAGCTGGGGGTGAAGGAGATAGCAAAGGGAAGGCCTTTTTCAGCAGGGATGGTGGGCAGAAGGTTGGCAAGCATGGTGGGACCAAGAAGATAGCAGGGAAGTGCTTCTATTGCAACAAGAAGGGTCACTTCAAGAAGGACTGCAGGAAGTTTCTGGCGGACACCAAACAACAAGCCAATCAAGCCAGCACCAGTCAGGCAACTCAGAATGAGTTCCTATTCTTTGCTCAGTCAGGAGATGACACCAAAACTTCTCAGGGAGCAGTCTGGTGGATTGTGGACTCAGGTGCTTCACAGCACATGTCACACAGGAAGGATTGGATGACCAATTACATGGAGATGTCACCAATTCAAGTCCATCTGGCGGACAACAGAACACTTCATGGGGCAGAAGATCAAAACTCTCAGATCAGACAATGGGGGAGAGTATGTGGGCGAAGAATTCAAGAAATTCTGCAAACAGAAGGGAATTCAGCAGCAATTCAGCACCCCCTACACACCAGAGCAGAATGGTGTTGCTGAGAGGATGAACAGGATGCTGGTGGAAATGGGAAGGTGCATGCTGCACCACAGTGGACTCAGCTACAAGTTCTGGGGTGAGGCAATCATGACAGCGGTCTATCTCAGGAACAGGAGCCCCACTGC